TAACAAAGTTACGTAAGTGTGTATATATATAAGTTTACAGAATACATATATGTATACATTTAATTCAATTATATACAAGCATAATATAATAAAATAAATAAAGAAAATAACAACAAAAAAAAATTTTATCCTTAAGTATAGAAGAGTAAAAAAAAAAATATTCTTTTTCCTTTTAATTTCCGTAAATCTTCAATGGCAATACCATAATATGGTCATTACCACACATTCTAAAATCTTATACCACATATTCTAAAAATTTTCTAAAATTGTAAAGGAACTACAACAGCATTCAAATTTATTTTTTTGTGAATTCTTTTTCCATTTTTGTTTTTCTTCTCTTTTAATTTATTTCGGTTTGATGTCTTCCCAATTGCAAAAAAAACAAGATGAATAGAAAAGAAGTAGAGAAAAAATTTTCCTTTTTTTTTCATTTCATCATCAAAATAACAACAATATCCTGAATAGAAAAGGATATAAATACGGTATATGAAAAAAATTTTGAAACGAAATTGTGAAAAAATTTTTCTTATATTTGAAAATTCTCTTCGTTTTTAATTGGGGTCAAAAGTTTTTACTACACACATACACAGTATATAAAGAAATAAATTTGACAGTATTAAAAGGATTCTTATTAGAGCATAAAACTATAATTTGATTAATTGTACAATCAATTTTATATATTAAGTTCATGTAATTTTCAAGGATAAAGGAAATTTATTATTAATTTTAATAATAACTTTGTACAAATAACCTCATTTAATTCTAAATTGACAATGACTGAATCAATGACCAAATTTTAATTTACTTGCATTATGGTTTGTTAATTTCATATGCCTTCTATAAAATTTTTGTATTTGACATTCTTAATAGATTTTTGACAGAAATCGAGTTCTAATTTATTGCAAATAATATTGTAATTTTTTTAAACCAATATAACATTATAAGAACAAGAATTTCAATTGAATTTGAATTAACCGTGTTAACCCTTTGACATAAGTACAAATGCATGAGTGATTTTAAGGTTTTGATAACTGGTATTCGGATTTCTATACCGGTTTACTAAATTGCGTCCTTATTATGAAAATAATTAAACTTGTTTTTTTCAGTTGCATGGCAGAAGTTATATACCATTTATTACATAAAGTTTTTGAGAATGGCAACTATTTATTTTTAAATATGATCTCCAAAATTGTATAATCTTAGTATATTTGAATCTTAGTATATTTAAAATGAAATTATTTTTGAAATTGTGATGGAGTTAGACGGGAATTTTTACAATTTTTACTATATATTTTGCAAAAGTTATATAGAAACCTTGTTAAGAACAATTTATAATAAGTAATTACGAACTTTTTACAAATAAGTAAAATTTCCATCAACCCTGTAATTTTGAAAGATTTTTAACCAAATTAATTAATACACGCGAACAAGGGAATTCCAGGTTTCAAATTAAATCCTTGTTTTTTTCAATTTATGTAATTGCTTTTTTGTTTTTAAAGAATTTTAAAATATACGAACAGATGTTAAAAGTGAATCCGGCACTGATTTTGAATATTTTGTGAACTTTCATACGAATAGACTCTTTTTGTTTTTTAAAATTTATTTATTTTTTTTTTCAAATTTTGAGTAGTTTTTAAAATTTGCCACCCAACTAAGCAACACAATTTATCAGGAAAATGTTAACACAATTTTTATTTAAGAACACCCTTATTATCTCATAGTCGTGTTATTTGTTTTCCAATATTTTCTATACAAGCCTTAAAACATACTATGAAAAAAAAAATAAATAAAAAATCATACTGCACCACCTCCAATCAACAACACATTTATTTTAATGATTTCAATTTCATCAATAATAGAGAAATGATTTTTTTTTAATTTCGTGTCGTCAATTTGGTGGATTGAGAAAGAAAACGGTCCCCATACCAATCATTAAAAATTTAAAAACAAAAAATAAAATAAAAATTTCCCTTTTGTTATTTTCATTTTATTTTTTTGTTATCTCTAACTTTGATGCCGAATCCCCATTCCTTATAAAAACTATGCAGGAACAAAGGCACAAACATATATACAAAGACTTCAGAGTTCAAATTTTATGAACTTTATATAGGCGCATACAAGTATACAATAACACCCGCACTTTTCTCCGTGTGTACATTTTGTGTACACTCCAATAAATTTAAACGTGTACACAAGCACAACAAACACAAATATATAAAATATGAATAATTTGGCATTTAAACGAAAACTCTTTTCTATTTTTTGTTGTTGTTTTTATTATACTGCATGTGACAATGATGTTATACAGTTATCATTAATGCTATTGTATTGTATATTTCCGTTAACGGAAATAAATCTCCGCAATGATGATGAACTTAACGGAAGCAGTTTCAATTGTTTTTTTTTCTGTTCGCTCTTTACTTTTTTTTGACTTTTATTATCCTTTTAGCCCCTTTTTAACTTTTATTTAAGGATTTCATTTTTTTTGATGATGATTTTTTTGTAGATTTGTGGGATGCGGCTTTTAACTATGGGGAAAAATTATTTTTTTTTTTTTTTTTGTGATTTCTTCGTGTATGCAAAAAATCATATTCGTTATAATTTTAATTTAAAGAAGAAAAAATTGTGATTTTTTTTTTTTTTACACTTGATTCTCATTATATTTAATTTAACGTGTACACTTAGTATGTATATGAGGGTGAAAAATAAAATTTTTTGGCATAAAATGAGTTCATTGCTTTAGATTTTTGCTAGCATTATAAATAAATGAAATTATTTCTCATCGTTTTATGCATTTAAAAATATAAAAAAACGAAGAGCAAAATAGCTTAATTTGCTCTTAAATAAGCAAAAGAAAATTATTGCACTTTTATGTTATCATTAGTAAGCATTTGTTAGCGATATATAGAGAACATAAATAGCACAATTTGAACATCATTAAAAAATGAATTGTTAATTATTATAAATTTATAATTAAAGCTAAATATTTCGAAGACCTCACTGATTATTTTTAATAATTTGACTAATAAATATAATTCAAATGTGCATACAACTTTTAGTACATGAGTTGGTCATGTCAAACCACTCTGTCTATGATACGAGGGTAAACTCTCTATTAAGAACGATTATTTTATTTTTGATGCGGTTTGAACATAAATGTCTATACTCTGCACCCTATACCACACGAACTAAAACAATTTCGATTAAATTTTTTAACGAATTCATAGCCCCAATATAGAGGCCCCAATATGAAGAATAATAAAATTACTTTCAAATTTGTACGATATAAGAACACATACAATCATTAAAAATTCTTACAGAAATAGCTGGTTTCTTACTGCAACTTCAATTATTTCTGTGCTATGAACAAAATACTTCAGAATTTATGTGTCGATTTCTTAAAGCAGAGTCTCCATTGTATACTTCAATAAAACATTGTTTTGGCTTGGCACTCACTGTAATACGTACATCGTTTTTAAAAATTTAATAAATTAAGTTTTATCAGTCCCTATTGGGACTGTCGAATTGATGAACGAATGAATGAGTGTAAATGTGCACAAACATGTGTATTTCATCCAAATATACATTTTCTTGATAAATGAAAATATGGAATAAAATTAATTTTATTAAGAAAGTGAGATAAAAATAATATGCTCCAAAATTATACCTTACCTATACAAAAATTTAAAATAATTCTACTGCATTAAAAAAAAAATACACGATTCCATGTCGACTGCCAAAAACATAATAAATATAGTAAAAAAATTTTTTACTATCTTGTTTATTTCAACTATTTTAAAAAATATGTTACAATTCTATAGCAACATTTAAGGAATTGTAAATAAGAAAAGAGAAAATTATAGAAAATACATGATCCAAAACAACTTTAGGATACCTTAAAAAAAAATTTTATAAAAATCCAAAAACAAAAGAAAACAGAACAAAAATCTGAGTACAGTTTTAGTCTCATGTGCAGCTTCTAACACCCTTATTTATTTTATTCTGTTATATTAAGCCGAAAGTATATATGATGAAGGTACAGGAGACCTCATGTTTTGTGAAATATAAAACATCTATTTCATATTTTCATATGTGCTTATATAGATATTCACTGACTTGAAAAATATATAGCTCTAATACCTTGATTTTTTCAATTTAATAAGAAATTTAACAATATTTGTCAATAATATTCACTCAATTTATGTACTGAGTCTGTGAATTTTTCAACATTTCTGTTAAAATTTACATAATATATTCAACCTTTTAGACCATTTCATTGTAAACCGGTTCATAAATTTATTATACATTTCCTGAATTAAAATTAAAGCATTCAGTACCTAACACACACGTTTATTTTAAAAAAAAAAATTACCCAAATAAGGAAAATTGCTAAGCAATTTCGAAAATATGTACAAAAAAAAACAGAAAAACAAAAGAAAAGCAACTCAAACTTACCATTGTTTAATCGATTTACAACCAAATAAGTAAAAAAAAATGCAGGTTAAATAATGTTAGTTACCTTTTTATTTTGTCTACAATTCACAAGGTAACTAACTTTAGATTCACAATATAAATGTATACATATACATATACACATATTTATTATTCTATTTTTAGATTACATACATATTTTTAGAATATTATTCAATATAATAAAAATTCCTTTACACTGTTATACTACAATAGTAGTAATATCGAAAATTTCTTAAATAATTCTACAACACATCGAATAATACGGAAGTTAATAATAATTTTTTCTTTTTTTTTTTTTTTGAAATTTCAAATCGGATAAATTGAAACTTTTTTTTGGAAAAAGAGTTTTTCAAATTTTCGAAATATTTTACGAATTTTTAAATAAAGAAAAAATTTACAAAAGTGTTAAAATATTTCAATTTTTGTTTTTTTCGAAATTTGAAAAATATTTTTAACATTCTTTGTAAAAAAAAAATAGTAAAAAAGTAAAAAAACAAAAAAAATCGATAAAAGGAAGGTGAGGTGAATAAAAAAATATTTCAAGTTTTAATTAAAAAAAAACCCACAAAATTTTTCTCTAAACTGGGTAAATGCTCTGCTGGCAAACAGAAGATAATTATATTAATAAAGTTTATCCATTTCCATTTGCTCCAGCTACACTTAAACGAGTACTACAGCAATCCAATATACCATTGGTAAGTAAAACAAATTTCCAAAGAGGCAAATATGAAAAAGCATAAAAAAGCCTGCAATTCAAAAATCACTCCCATTTTTTTTTTTTTTTACAAAAATTATTGATTATTTTCAACTAGATTTCTTTTTAATTTTTCATTTTTATTCTTAAAGGCACATTATAACCAGGGCACACTCTTCATATATAAAATGAATCACCCACAAGTCTTCTAATAAAATCCAAAAAAAACAAAAAAAACATAGCCCATGCATTTCATTTTAGATTAAAACATTCATCATCCATTAAATTAAAAAACAAATTCCTGTAGAGGATACACAAAAAAGGACATATAAAAAAGGATAACTGAAATAATAAAAGCAAAACAAAATACAAATATAGAAAATGAAGTGGAATGCCGAATCTTATGTTGAAAATCGAATTTTTGATCATAGATTGGTCAAGGATAATTTATTGGATCAATGGACATCCGAAGGAGGACAGTATCCACCTAGAAGAGATTATCGACAATTTTTGGAAAATTATGTATAACTTGTTTTTTTTTTTTTTTTTAATTTTTGATTTTTTGTTTTGTGTTTTCTCTCATTTTTTGATTTGTTTTTTAAGAGTGGTTTGCATGTATGTTGAAAATTTTATTTTTTTTTCAGAGTAATTCATCAAGGTCTTATAATTTACTTAAAATTCTTTTAGATCAATGCACTTTTAAATCCTTGTATATATAGAAATGTACCTTGTATAATAGAATTTTTTAATGTTTTCTAGATTAGTTTGAAATATAAAAGAATTTATAATTTTATTTATGAATTTTATTTTGGGTTGTATAAACAAATTTGGAAATTTATCTGAAATTTTACAGGTGTTAAGCAAAATTAGATAAAAATTTGTTTATTCATTTACATCGTTTTATATAAAAACTTTAAATAATACAGGCTGGGAATACTTAAAAAGTGATAAAATTTCAAGCAAACCTGTTGTTTAAGCTTCTACTAGAACAAAACTTTAAAAATTTTTACATTAATTCAGTACAATGTGGTTACCGTGTTTCGATTAAAAATAAATAACTTCAAATTAATTAAAGAAAACCAATTTATGACGTTCATATTAACCCATTGAGGACCAATATTTTTTTTCAAGAATTTTTTTCAAAAATTTTGGTTAAACTTTTGATTTTGTAAGATCCAAATTGTATATTCATAACATTTTTCTCATAAAATTTGATACTCAAATACAAATAAAATTTATGCTTCTAACATATTAACCGCTCATTCCCAACTACTTTTAGTCCATTCACAATTGTAAATTTATCATGCTTAATTATAAAATTAAATTGTTATTTATTTGCTTGTGGTGCATTAATAAATGAAATTGAAAAAAAAAAAATTTAGATCACTTTTAAAATATCGAATTTTTCAGCCATGGCACGAGAGTAGTTTACCACCACCTTTACAACCAGGAAATCCTCCAACGAACGTAACTAATACCGTAGGATATAATTATAAGGTACTTAATGAGAAAATAATTCATCACTATAAATTAATCAAAATTATTTCTTATTATTATTTAATAAATATTTAGACTGCACGTGCACATCCATGGAGGCCAACATTGGCTTATGAAATGTGTGATACTGTCCCGGATGATGTAAATGCTAATGATATTATTGCTCCAACATTTGTACCACAAGGAATGCAAACTAACGCCGTATCATACCCGAATTTAGTTTCGGGTTATCAAAATAATCCTCAACATGCCGCAAAAGCTGCACTTTATACAAGATTTACACCCGGCGAATGGGTTAATAATAATTTGTCAAGATTTTCTGAATCCAATGTTAACCGGTAAAAACTTATCTAAAAAATAAAATATTTTTGTGAAATGAAATTAATTCGAATTAAAAATATTTTTGTAATAGAAATCTTTCAGAACGATTACGAAGTGAAGCAGTTCGTGCTATGCGCGAAACTGATGAAAAAACTTCTCAATCACAAAGAGATGCTGGTAGACGTCTTGGTGAACGTATTACTGATACAACATTTTGGCGAAATGAATTGAATACTGAATTGGAAAAATTAATTCAGGAGCTTGCTGTTTTAAATGAATGTAAAAGAAATGTTGCTAAAGCTCTCCAAGATACTGAAGCCCCATTACATATTACTCAAGAATGTCTATATCATCGTGAAGGTCGACAAGAAATAGAAAAAGTTCATGATCATGTTGAAAAGAGATTACTTCTAGAAGTTGATAATTTACGAAACTGTCAGCAAAAATTAAGATTACTTTATGAAAAGGTAAAATAGTTTTGTGTGTGTATTAAATTTCCACAAAGAACTAATATTATTTTCTTCTTCATAATAAATTTTTAGTGTTGTATACAAATTCAAGATTGCAGAGCAGCTCAACATTCTTTAGAAGATGATATTGCTCATAAAGAGTCAACGCTTGGTATCGATTCAGTTTGTCATCGTTTAAATAATTTCAGTCGCGGAATAAATTACTTTTCGGGTATCGAAAAAATTGATCCAACTGTTAGTAGTATGGAATCATGGGCAATGTCAAGTAGTAATCGTATAAATAGATCACAAACAGAACGAACTAAGAGTACTCAGTTACGAAGTGAAGCTGAAACTACAATAAATGCAGTTGCAACAGCCGTTTGGGATCATTGGTGTAATACAAATAGTTCATTGGAACGTCGTAGTGCTGAAACTGCTGAAGCAAAAAGTCGTATTCAATTACATTTACATAAAACAATTCAAGAAATATTTGATATGGAAAAACATATTGCAATGTTAAAAAAAGCAATAGAAGACAAGGCAAATCCAATGAAAGTAGCTCAAACACGTTTAGAGGCAAGATCACACCGCGACGGTATAGAATTGTGCAAGTAAGTAGAAATTAATTGTACTACCTTACATTTTGAATTTCTCCACTCATTCATTTTTTAAAAATTCAACAGAGATTTTGCTCATATGAGATTGGTACAAGAAGTATTAGAAATTCAAGATTCTGTACAAAATTTACACCGAAAATTACAAGATTCTGAAAGTCAACATCAACAGTTGTTGAAAACGAAAGCTAATTTGGAATTGGATTTGAAAAGGAAGAACAATGCCCTTCATATTGATAGAGAAAAATGTATGGGCATAAGAAGATCATTCCCAGTCAACAATATTATAAAATGTTAAAGAAAATTTAAGAAATTGTAAAACATTAGAAGCTTAATAAACGTGAAGTTTAACTAATCAAACAAAAATGTAAATTTCATTATTCTTTAGAAAACTTTAGAAGCAAATTGAGACCGAATTTTTCTGCCATATTTAAAACTTTAATTTTTAACTGCAATCAAATATTAAATTTTCTCTTTTAAAAGAACTTAGTGATTTTTTGAATAAATTTCAAATAAACATTTTTTATATTTTTCTGTTCACATCAATTTTAATAATTTCAAGTTGAAATTTTTATGATTTTTAACATATTTGGATTCAATTTTGAAAAAAAATTTAAAATCATCTTTTTCAATTTCAAAATAAAAATCAATAATTTCTAAATTTCAAATATGGTTGTAGAAAAACAAAACACAATATACTCTCAGCTACAACCGTGGAGTTCCGCCTTTGCACCTCCATGTGTTGAACCGGTTTCAGGTCCATCTGTACCAAAAAGAGTCGGAATTTCTTATCAGGTAAATATATTTAGAAAATTATTGGGAATTTTATTTAACAAGCAGAATATATTTTAAAGACTACAAAACCACATCCATGGCGACCAACTCTTACATATGAATTACTTGAACCAAATCATTTACCAGAACAGTCAATAACAAATAGCCTTGTAAATACATGTTTTATGCCAACAGGAATGCTAACAGAACCAATATTATTTCCAAATTTTGTAACAGGATTTGAAAGAAATCCGCAAAATGCAGCCCGGGCGGCCTTATATACGAGATATACACAAAGTGAATGGTCACAAAATACTGCATCACTTTATTCGGCATCTAATTCGAATCGGTAAAAAATTTATAAGTACTTTTAAGCTCTTATTGTTCATAATGATTAAAAACAAATAAAACAGAAACAATTCAGAACGCTTACGAAACCAGTGCATTAAATTAATGACGGAATGTGATGAGAAATGTGCAGGTGGACAAAGGGATTCAAGTCGTCGTCTCGGTGAACGTATTACAGATGTAACTTTTTGGAGAAATGAACTAAATTCTGAGTTAGAAAAATTAATGGCAGAAATAAATACTTTTTCAAATGTAAAACAACAAGTCGTTAAAGCAATACAAGATTTAGAAACCCCATTACATATAGCTCAAGAATGTTTATATCATCGTGAAACTCGTAAAGGACAAGAGAAAGTTCATGATGATGCTGAAAAAGCTTTACTTTTAGAAATTGATAACATAAGAAATCAACAATCAAAATTAGAGTCTCTTTATTCACAAGTAAAACTCACTTACTATTAATTTTTATACTTTAATTATACAACTTTTAGATTAAGAAACAACTTCAAAATTGTAGAGCAGCACAATTCGCTCTTGAAGAAGACATTACGCGAAAGGATTCAGCATTAGGTATTGATTCAACATGCCATCAGTTAAATGATTTCAGTCGTGGTATTAATTATTATGGTGGCATCGAAAAATATGATCCAAATATTACAAATACTGAATCATGGTCAATTTCATGTGGACAACGTGTGCATAGCTCTCAACAGGAACGTAGTAAAACAACACAATTAAGAACTGATATTGAACAAATTATTAATTCTGTAGCTAATTCAATTTGGGATCATTGGGCAAATACAAATATTGCTTTATCACGTAGAGGACAAGAAATTGAAAATGCAAAAAATCAAATATTAGATCATTTGCACAAAGTTCAAAAAGAAATTTTCGATTTACAAAAATATATAGACCTAATATTAAAAACTATACAAAATAAATCGGTTGGATTAATGGTAGCTCAAACACGTCTAGAAGCGAGATCACATCGTGAAGGTAATGAATTATGTAAAGATGGAGCACAAATTAGATTAGTAGATGAAGTAAAAGATACTCAAGAATCAGTTACTAAATTAGATAAATTTTTACAAGAATCTGAAGCTCAACTTCAGGAGCTATTAAAAACAAGAAATAATTTAGAAAGTAGTTTAGCAGCCAAAGTGAATGCATTATTTATTGATCGTGAGAAATGTTTAGGTATGAGAAAATCTTTTCCAATGAATATTTTAATAAAATATTAAATAATTTTCCAAATATAAGCATAAGCTAATTTATTATTCGAACTGAAAATTCGAAAATTCGGATATAAAAATTCCGAAATACCATACTGACTAAAATTTGAAATTTTGTATTAAATTGACTTAAAATTAGAAAATTTTGTTAGGCAAAATAAGTTGGTGGAAAATAATTTTTCTCTCAACAATATGCAAAAGCAATTTCGTTTTATTGCATAAATCTAGGGGGAAAATAAATGAGAAGTACTAAGAATGAGAGAAAAATAATTTGGCGTTAAAGAAAAATTTACGGCTAAAATTTTAACAGTCGTTTTTACACACTGGCATATTTTTACACGATCCTTAAAACAATCGTATTTTTAAAACATCGGTAGGCTATCAAATTTAATACGATGACAGTGACTTAAGTTCTTCCAAATGATCCATTTATGTATTTAATTCATAGACAGGGTGTAAAGCCGGTTGTCCGAGACTTAACAGTGCTATAGCAGTAGTTTTCAAATATTTCAACTTTGAGACCTCACAACTCAAGAAGAATGGGCTCAAAAAGCAAAATTCCAATAGGCATTTCTTGCTGGTCTGGAGTAACTCTATCACTCTAATGCAGGAATACTGCTAATTTTCAGACACCCCATATATGCGCATTTTTTTCATTTTTACATGTAACAATATGCTAAAAATAGAACTTCTTAAAAAGTTCAAACAAAAAAAAAAAACGATTATTAAAGTTATTTAATTATTTGGTCCACGTTGACATAATAATCTTACATGTCAACTGGGACTTAAACTAAAACATAATTTATTAATCTTATATAAATTTAAATTCAAAATTACTGCATATTTCTATAGCACACCATTATGTAAATTATTTTCACATAAAATTTTCAATCTTCTTAAATCCTTTTCTTATATATACCTTGAATTCCCTATACACATACATATAAATTTAATTCTCTGAAACCAAGTAGATAAGAACGTAAATGCTATTCTGGAAATTCTTACATCTATACTTCGACAAGAGTTACACAAAATTTTTCAAATAACTATACGTAATAAATTTAACGTAGTAAAACCATAAAACTGATAAATTATGCTCTTACTTCATAATATTACACACACACATACATACACATAAATATTCAATATAAAATTTCATTTAACGAGTTACACTGAATCACTTTTAATTCCTTTGGGACATATTTTTTTTTTTTCGAAATAATTAGGTCAACCAATAAGTGGTGAACGCGCAAGATGGATTAAAGAATGAGAAAAATATATAAAAAGAAAATTCTTTTATTTTATAACCGAGATAAAACACGTTAAGTTTATTCTCACCAATAACTGATTTCACCTTTAAAGACCCCCCCTTCCCCCTGTATTTTTCTTCTTTTTCCTTTTTTTTTATTTGAAAAAAATACACTTACTTGCACAATTATTACATAATGTACACTGCTATAAAATTGTATTTAGAGTACATAAGTATTTAACAATATGAGTTATTCACTTTCAGATTTTCTCACTCTTTGTCTTTTTCTTCGTTTGTGTTTTTTTTTTAGCTTGTTCTTTTCTTATACTTATTTTCTTGTTTTCTTCATTTTTCTTTGTACATTCACTTAACAACGCTAACTAGCTTGAGGCATTTTAAGTGCAAAATTAAAATAAAAAGTGAAGAAGCCGAGAGAGAGAGAGTGAGAAAGAAAAGAAAAATTCTGTATTAAGAAATTTAATAGAATGAGAAAAACCAATTAAATAGAGAGACGAATTTAATTTCTTCTTATTTTATTAACTCTGAAAATACTATATGACAGAAACATAAAAAATTGCAAAAATAAGAGAAAAAAATAAAAATTTAATTTAGAAAGGATAACAAGATATTTGGGATTTAACTGGTGGTTTTCGTATCAAAAATTAAATTATAAACGTACATGTTAAGCGAAAATATAAGAAAAAAGGGTGACGGGAAGGGAGACAAGCGGAAAACTGAAACAAAAAAAAAAACATTTTGTCACCTTACTTGCAGTTTTTATTTTTTTTTTCTTTTCACCATTACGCCGTTTTAATGTTCTGTTGTTCCTTTTCCAAAAAAAAAAAGCAAGAAAGGGATAAAGAAAACTGCGAATTGAGATTATTGTAAAACATTAAGAATTTCAATTTTCATAACGGGGAGATGCTTTCGAAACAAAAGAAAAAAAAGAACAACACAAAAAATAAACATAATTTTGCAAAGTCATTTAAAGGATAACTGCAATGTTATGTAACAGCAGTATAGCATGAAAGATGGGTGGTTAGGAGCGAGCACATACACAAAAAAACAAAAATCGATTTTCTCTTACTAACATTAAAAATAAAGATGTTTTTCATTCTGTTCATGCAAGCAAAGTATTAAAGGATAATTTTTTATACATAAACATACAAAATTGGATTTTTTTGTTTTTATTTTTTCTTCTGTTATATATAAAGACTTAAAATGCTTATTTAATTAAAATATGAAATACTCAAACGGATTTTTTTTTGTAAGAGAAAACACACATATTAGTAATAACAAAATTTATGTTTTGTCGAGTCTCAGTTAGTTAAAAAAATTTTTTTTTGAATTTTTCGAAAAATTTAAATTTTTTTAGCTTTAAAATTGTTGCAAAAATTTACATACAAATTCTTAAAAAATAGCATTTTTTAAATAATTTTGTAATGACGAATTCGAGAGAACTCAGAGGCAGATAAGTGTTATTGAAATGAAATTATTTGAATTTTAAATTTTGTTTTAAAGTCAAATAAAACTAGGAAATTCAAAATTCTAACTAGTTTGGAATGTACTTTAATAATTACAAAGAAATAATTTCACAAAACTCGTAAAACCGATTAATATTACTTCTATATAGTTGGAATCTCGAAAGCTTTGTATGCTAGTACAAATTCGTGTTTAATATTTTGAAATTTACTTGGCTCGAAAATGTCAAGAAATTCAAGAATGTAATTTGCGTTTCGCAAACTTTTGTTTTATAGAAAACAAGTGAGTCAAAATACTTTTCGAGCCAAGTAAATATTCCCTTCAAAATAAGTATCTTTTTTTTTCTTCCTTCTCGAGGACCGAGGGCTTTAAACCCATCACGGTTTATTCCCATCCCCATCTACATTAGCCCTATAATTGACAAGGCCCGTGACAAACTCCAGTATAGCAGTCACATCAAGCCGCGAGATTCTCCACGGGGCCACAAAGCCGCCCCCGAAGCATCCTAGTCGCAGGCGAGCAACTGTCTCGCACTCTCACAATAAATATTCCATCGTTTCATCCTTCTAATTAACTATCTTGAATTTTCCTTTAAATATTATGAAAAATATAATTCACAAATCATTGAAATCATTGTCATTCACAATATTCAAATATAATTCACAAATCATTGAAATTTGTTTAAAAAATTGTAGCATTTTACAATATTTTGGTAAAATTTTCAATTCATGCAAATTATTACAAAAAAATTAGATTTTCCCCAAAAAAAAAAAAAAGGAAAGACAAATTATTCGGAAATTAAATCGAATTTCAGTAAATAAATACAAAATTGGAATTTATTGAAATTTGAATTTAATTTATCTAGATACAAGGTGATTCACGAATAAGCTCTTTTTCTTATAACAGAAATTATCTTACAATAATTTTCGTTTAAAACGGACATTTACTATAATATCAAAGTTTGGAGTATTTAAAATGAATTTTCAATGGGTAAAACAATAAACGAGAACTTCACTGATTTTGAATGCCCTTTAAATCGCAGGATATAAATAAGGACTTGTAAATGAATCACTCTGTATTTATTACCTTGATACCCAAATATGAAATATTTTTTATTGAGTAAGTAATACATTTTATTTTTTTAATTAGATTTTACTCTTTATTGTACGTATAAATTCAACGAAAATCCTTACATGTAGAATAGAGAAAAAGACTACTATAAACGCCACACAATGTGGGTATTTGTTATATCTATAAATAGGAATGGATTTAAAATTTCCCTCTTTTTTAAGTTTTTCATTTTTTTTAGAATAGACGTAGCATAACATTACATTTGATATTTTGTCTGATTAAATTACTAACAAAAAAACTTTTACTTGAATTATTTCAACTAAAAGTTATTTTTTTTTTACTATTGATAAAATTCGAATTGAATTTGTTCCTATTCACACACAATGTAGTATAAGCAAACATGAATGCATTAAAAAGTTTTCTTTAAGGATTTTTCAAAATAAATTTATTTCAAGTTTTTATTTGTAAAAAAAAAAAATTTTTTTTCCTTTTTGGCATATTACTTGTTTGTCGTCCTTTCATGACAAATACTCGAACGGATTTCAAAATGAATTGACAATTTTATGAAAATCAAATGGCAACTCCGATTTAACCCAAAATTTTTTTTAATTCTCTTAATTTCATACGCACTGCAAAGAATTTCTCACATATTTCCTTCATTTTTTTTTGATATTAATTATAAATATTTTTGAATAATAAATTAAAATTAAAGAGAAAAGTGTAGAACAGTTTATTGTAAAGAGAGACTCAAACACACGTACTCACATATTATACAATTTATATACTCCACTCTATGACAATAAATTAAATTTTAAATTATAATTTAAAATACTTAAATTTCGAAATAATTTAAATGTAAATCTACTCTTAACACAATTTTATTAATTATCGCAAAAATGTAATTATTAAGTACGAAAATAAAAGATAAACAGAGTAATTAATTAAGCAAAATATAAGAAAAAAAATTTTTTTTATTATACAAAGGATATAATTGGAAATAAGGATGAACGCTTCGACATTTTCATTTTTAAGTAAATGAAAAAATTTTCTTTTAGATTATTTGATAATAAAAAAAATGTTTCATCAAATTTAAATTCAATTTTGTAATGATTGTCAAAAAAATTTTTTTTCTGCACAACATTAAAAATAAATGAAGATTCGAAAAATAAGTATACAAATACAATAAATTAACCTACATCCACAAAGT